ATTTTACCCACCTCGGAAGGATGCAAGGCTGAGTCAAGCCTGAGCCGGGGAGATTTGAACCGCCGAACTGCAGCTAACAGTCAGCTGAAGTGGCTGCAGTACTGCACTCTAACCACTGCGCCACCTCGGCTCTTACTTTTGTTTCTCAGTGGGATAGCACAGAGAAAGGTGGTAACCAAATTGGTGATCCTCCTAGACTTTCAGTTATTGCTTGAGGCGTATCTATGAACAGGCGGCCTTATCTTACATGCCAATTCCTATATCAGTAGGCTCTACTTATTGTCACTCTTGCTTTGGTCACTCCCATCCAAATTGCAGTGTGCTTTATATAGGCTGACCTTGAAGACAATTTGGAAGTTGCAGTGGTGTGAGTAGTTATGGATGTGTATTGGTATATTAGTTTTATTTGAGCTCCCAGTGGTCTTTTAAGTGCTATTCAAGGTGTTAATTGTCATCTAAAAACTCTTTGTGGCAGAGGTTATCTAAGAATGCCTGTCTGCAACCATTTCTGTTCATCATCCTACGAGATCTGATAGGGTGGGGTCCAGGTTCTCTCTGTTAAACATTTTCTTTTCTGTCACCAGGCCTGTCCTAGATCTCACCGTGCTGGCTTTTCATAAGACATAGAGGACTTTGTTCTTGCCTGAGCATTTGGGTTAGGCTATTGGATAAATCTTGTTGTTTATGGTTGTATGTTGTTGAAGGCATGCTCTGAGTGTGGTATGTTGTTTCAAATTTTTAGAAATTATTTCTTATTGATTTCTTAAATTGACTATTAGTTATTTACAATCCTATTGAGTGAGGGCCAAAGCAATTTAAAGAATATATGGTAGTCTTTTTAATGGATATTAAAAAAAAAACCCATGGGAATTTCTGACTGTGGCTGGTAGTTTATCATTTATTTTCTTCATTAATTGAACATCTTTTGCGGTGCTGTGATGTAACTTTATTGCAGCATTAGTTTAATTCGGAAGCTGCTATGTAAACACAGAAGATACATAGCAATTGTATTTCTACTTTAATGCCCTTTTCAGATTGTATTGTATTTCTACTTTAATGCCCTTTTCAGATCTGAAGAACCATTGACTGTGAGAGCTGCTCCTTTTCACTTGATTGTGGGAGGCGGAAATGTATTGGCTGAAACCTAAAAGTCCTGGATTTCGACATACACCCTTAGGAGCATTTGTTATTTTTACCGCGCTAGCCAGAAAGTGATGAAGTAAATCATGAATAATAAGGAAGACAGCCTGTTCGGAAATAATCCCCCGCACACACACACAAATAAACCCTGGCCCAACTCCCCCTCCTCCCTTCTTCCCTTCTTCGGTGTTTCATATTTTGACGCTGCCGCGACTTTTCCGAAAAGCCGATCAGATCTTAAGGGCGCCGGGGCTGTCATTGGTGGGAAGTCAGCTAGCGACTGGTCGGCGGGGGTTGGGGGCGTGGCCGATATATTACCCGCCGTGTTCGGGGGACGCTCGGAAAGCCTATTCCTCACCACCATCCCACCCGTTTTCTCGCAGTGCTGTTCGACGAAGTTTGGCTGCCGGGCTTTCTTATGACCAAATTGCGGAACGACTGAGGAGGAGACGAGACGAGACGGAAGGACAGACCCTGACGGAGAGGATGCGGCATTGTAGGAGAACAGGAAGCCGTTTCCGCGCTGGGGCCGGAAGCGTGGCGCTCGGTACGCTTTCTCAGAGGCACCCCGGGGAATTCCTGCTTGCTCCCTGCTTTTAATGCCTTTAGATAGTGGAGGAGGTAACCCCTCTTTTCTCCCCAAGCCGCTTCTCGCTTCTTTGAGATAAGAAAAACCGAATATGCACCTTAGATATCCGAAATTATGAAGTGAAAAAATGGTAGATGTCTGTGTTGATAAACGCAGCAATAAAATATTGGTGGATGTGCGATTCACGCCGCTGTGGCTCTCTTATGATTCAATCAGGCATAAGAACCTGGAAAACGTCGTGATAAATCGGGCTTAAGTTAACGATCAGTTAGTTATTTGTAAATATACTTTTCAGGCAAATTTTGTTGTAGCTTAGGGTGGTTTTTACATAGATAAAACCTTCAAGATAGAAGAAGAAACATGACAAGGTGAGTTTTAGTATAAATGTAAGATTGTTAAGTTTTGATAACTGGAAAGTTAAAGCCAACATATAATTTGAGTAACAGAAAGTCTAGGTTGGCATCTGGTTAAATAATGTGTTACATGTGAAAATAATTCTCCTGTATCTCATCTTTTAAAAGCATTCTTACTCTACAGTGAATACTATTGAGCTTGGTGGGATTATTTCTCAATAAAAATGTGTAGCATTGAGTTATGAAGTGCTTAAGCATCTTTTTGGCTCTTGCCTATTTACTAGACCAGCCTTTCTCAACTTTTTCCGAATATTTAAATCTCAGCGAACCCCCACCCCCCAAGTGCATAAACATTATACTTACAGTGCCCAGAATTCAGAACTATTTTTTTTTAAATCATGATTGCTCATGGAATATCTAGAGCCGCGATGGTGAACCTTTGGCACGCGTGCCAGAAATGGCATGCCCAGCCATCTCTCTGGGCACGCCAGCCGTTGCCCTTTGCTCTTCTGGGTTCCAGTACTCACATGCAGTTGGTCTTCACACACAGGAGAGCACCAGAAATCGGAAGATCAGCTCCCTGGTGTGCAAGCACATGCCGGAAACCAGAAGATCAGCTTTCCGGTGTGCACCGGGGAACTGCTCTTCCGGTTTTTGGTGCTCCTCCATGTGTGTTCGTGCGCTCCCATTCCAAAAAGGTTTGCCAACACTGATTAAGAGACTTCTCATGAAATCCTAGGGTTTCACAAAACCCTCAGTTGAGAAAAGGTTGTTGTAATATGTATTATTAAATCCAAATTCTTTATTTTAGGAACCGCTGCTCTAAGAAGTTTATGTAATCAAATTTTACAGCTTTTCTCTGGAATATAAATGGCTTAAAGTGCAATCCTGTGGATATCTATTCCAAAATAAGCTCTTCTGAGTTCAGTTGGATTTATTCCCAGGTAAACATGCATAGGATTGTTGTCTGAATATAATTATGTTTAAATTCTTGATTTTTTTCTTCCATTGTTTTTATGGGTTGGACAAATCATTGGGCCTTCCAGTAAACTTGAAGTTTTTATTTGATGCATGTGGTAAAGATGCATGCATTGATTTTCAAATAATCAGATCCTAGAAAATAGGTGAATGAGATCCTAATATAGTTTGTTTGTGTTGCTCTGCTGATCTCTTATGTTTCTTCATTATTAACATTTGGTTGAGCTCTTTACTTATTTTTCTATTTGCCAGGCCTTTGTTAATAGAAAATGTCAGTGAATAACTTCTTTGGAAATAAGAAGAGAAACAGCTCCATATTATATGATGTTGATCAGACAAAAATTACTTCACCTCTCCAGAGATCTATAAGCCATAATAATATTGGAAATCATGGTGAAGGCTTACCACCAAACAAGCGTTACAAAAGTGTTGTTTCATCCAAATGTAAAGAAACGGAAGATCCATTTGGGGATAATGATGATTTTACAGTAGATGACTTGAAGGAGATAGACATTATTTCTTCCCAGGCATTGACACTAGATGTTTCTTCAGAAACAAATTTGTTGAAAACGGAGCAAAATGCTCAGTTGCCTGTTTTTCCGAATAGCATCAATCAATTCAAAACACCTGATCAATGGAATATTACTCTAACAACTGAAACAAAACCATCTGGTATGTACACAATAAATACAGAAATCAGTAAGAGGCAATTAAAATAAAACTTGTCTGTATAACTAGATAGGATGGAATTGCTTGCTATTAAAATTATTTTCCATTTTCCTAGCGAGAAAATATAACCATGGTAAAACTTATGATTATCTGCTTTTGCCTATTTGTCTTTGATTTAAAATTAAAGTTGTTAAATTAAAAAACCTCAATATTTATAAAGAATGCATAGTTATAAGACTCTGTTAGCCACATGTAAACTGCCTATTACCACTCTGAGACCATATTGCTTGAATTGTGATAGTAAAATAACCAGAATTTGACACTGATTTTTTAATTCAAACTTGAGATCATAGTGGAAACATTTAACTGCTCGGATTCCCATTCCAAATCAGATCAGAATGACCTTTTCTCATTCCAGCTGCAAAGTTTATAGGGGTTATTAGAATGGGATGGGAGTTGGAAGTTCTTGAGAAACACAATGTTTCCAGATTCCTGATTTTAACTCTTCTGAAAAAGACATCTGAAATTGAGCCTAAAATAGCACTGGGGATTTGGGAGATTTTTTTTAAAGATTCACTTTCAAGTAGTTTGTAAGTTTTCCATTCCTTTTTCCACCCTTAAGAAACAAAAGTAAAAAGATGGACTAAAAATTTATCTAGCCCTTTACTAAAATCACACTACTAGATTAATTTCTATCTACAGAAAACAGCATACCGGTAGAAGAAATGAAACTTAAAGAAATATTTAAACTTGAAACACTCCAAGCACAATACAAGGAGGCCATGAAAAAGGTGAGATGCAAGTTGTTCATGCTTTTTGGAATGTAACCAGGAATTAAATTCTAGTCCTGAAACTTTTTGAAACAGCTTCTTTGTATTTTTGATCATGTAATATACATGCTATTCAGGAGAAAGCTTCATAGCATTCAGTGGCACTTGAGCTAATTGTATAGAATTGTAACCTAGACATAACAGAAACTGAAGCATGTATAGTTTTAAAATGATTGCATAGTTAAAAAGGGACAGTTAGATAAGAAAATTATGTATATGTGTGTTTTTACAAATATTCAAACATATATGTAAATTATGAGTGATTGAAAATGTGCTGATTTAATGAACAGCAGAGCAGCCATGTACTCATACAAAGTGCAAATAATTTTGATGGTATGCACAACCGTATTACCATATTTTTTGCACTAGAAGACCCCCCAAAAATGAGTGGAAATATCTTTGTGTCTTATGGAATGAATATTGCGTCACAGACAGGGCTGTAATTGCAGCCGGTTGGTGCAGCAGTGATGATAGGCAGCAGCGGCAAACAGCTGCCTATTGGTAGTTGGATCGGCCTCCCAGAATACCACTGATTGCAATGAGTGACAGGAAGCGGCAATCCCTGCCACCTGGAACAACTGATCAGGGGGATTCTGGGAGGGCGATCCAACTGCTGATCAGTGAGCAGTGATAATCAGGGAATGCTGGTGAAGGTCCAGCATTCCCTGGTGGAG